GTCTTTACATGTCTTCGAAAAAAAGTGTTTCAAATGTTTCTGTTAAAAGAGACCTTTTTGGGGGCAAATTAATCGAATTGCCGTGCAGCTGAGCTACGCGGTCGCACCCCGATATAAACGGGTTACGATAGCCAAACGAGAAGCTTAAAAGGACAAACCAACATAAAACTTTTTGAAGCTGTACATAAAAGCTACTTTTTTCTGAAAGTGTGGCCTCGATCACCATCATTTCCAGAATCGATTACGGTAAACTAGAAATCTGGTTCGAAAAACCTTCGTAGCAAAGAGTTTTAGTTAAACCCGAGCATTAAGTTATGCGTTATATAGTTTTCACGAATCAATACCAGTGCGGCTAGAAATAGTAACCAAAATCCTAACATCGCAAAACTTTTCAAACCTTGTTTTAACTGTGAGTCTTGTCGGTACTTCCTGTAGAGCTTTCTAAAGTTGTTTGTCTTCATGTTTTAAAAAAATCTGTTTCATGTGATTCGAAAATTCGTGAAAATTTTGGTTGAAATCTGTTCACAACATGGTTTTCCTACACTCACTAAGTTTCAAAAACTTCTAATAAAGGCGATCCCCAATTTCGATCAAATTTATATTAGTTCCTATAAGAGGTATCGAAAAATGTTTAATCAACAAAATAATTTGTATATCATGATACACAAATTGTCCGTTGCCAATTTTTTGATATCTATCCCAGGAAATGAGAAAACTTAGCTCAAAGTTAACTACTTTAAGCTCAAATGGTTTCCATAGACCTAAAACAAATTTATGGTGAGCTTGTGATAAGCTAATATTAAGTTACTAATGTTTGACCAAAGATAAGCTCATCTTAAGTATGATGGGAGTTCACTACATATCCATTAAGCTTATGTTGAGCTACTCACGTTAATCGTACAGTATGCTTTTTGTAAGCTTACTGTATCAATTGTCAGAATTCAACCATTAACTTTTTTCTTCTAAACCATTGTGACACCGAAAACTTGAAGCTTTGAGATTTTCAGAAAATAAATCATCTCTGTTTCTTGAGTTTCATTTCAATCTGTGACAGTTTTTGGACAATATTCTATTTAACAACATTCCTGCAAAGATGTCTGTTTCCCAATAAATTAGTCCCTCATTTTGGTTCCCCCGAAAAATCTCCAACATTTTTATTGACCCTATGCTTCCGGATTTCTTCCACAGATCAAAACCAAATGGATGATAAATACGTGATACATCAAAAAGAAGGGGTGCCTATTCCATCATTATTATCAAATGTCATCAACGCTCGATTTCCAATCAATCATCACTCTCTATAATTGTTTGGGAGAGGGGGGAGAAACTTGGAGATGGTGCTTGTCACTAAAATCTTAAAGAAGAAGAAGATGAAGATCGTTTGTCTTATTGTTGCTTCGCGCGAAATTTTCTAAACATCAGCAAAAGAAGAAGAAGAAGACGAATCGGATGAGAAGGAGGCGAAGAAGAAGATGATCGATAGGTCCCAGTTGTAGAAAAACTGATGGATATGTGTGTATGTATCCGTATGATAAATGTCGAAACTTTCATGTTCCGTCATTTGTCAAAGTTTTCAGTGATATCAAAAATGTGGTCCCTGCTGAATTTAAAGAATTCAGATTTTTGGATAAATGTCGAAAATATTAGGAAATACAGAAGTTTCGTAGATTTATCGTGGTGAGCTTAACGACAATAAGAATGTTGTCAGTTTAACATTTTAATGTAATTAACGCAAGACAAGCTGAGTCAGCTTAACGCAATATTAGTGAGCTTAACGCAAACTTACTGTAAGTTCGCTTTAGGCTTACAGTAAGCTTTCTTTAGGCTTACCGTAAGCTTATCAAAAACTTGATAAAAGGCTTATCTTGAGTTTAACGTAAACATCTTATCAAAATTTGCACTTAATTTCATTGTATGATTATCTTAAGTTTATTTTAAGCTAATGGTAATCATTCAAGTCCCTGTAAGAGATATCGAAAAGTAATCAACTGACGGTATGGTTTTGATGATATGATTAACAGTTTGTCAGTTGATCACTTTTCGATTTCCCTCACACTGAATGATCTAGGGATTACGTCGATGCATTCTATTAGAGTGTTTACGGTAACACGGATCTAACTTCAAAATCCCTTATTACAATTTTTTCAGTCCCTTTCCTTCATTTCCATTTAACTAGAAAATTTAATTCTATTCGAAACACCACTGTACAAATATACGAATAAAAAAGATTTTATCATGCGTGCCGCCGTCGAAAAAAGTCGTAAAATTCCACCACCCATACAAAGGAAATGAAAATGAATGGTATTTACACAGAATGCAATTAGGGAAAAGAAGATGGATGTGGTGGGGGAGTTTTTTGAAATTGGAATTTTTCAGCGTTGGCATACTTGTAAAATTCCGGGCCGGCCCGCCAAAGCCCGGGCCCGGGCCCGGCCCGGCAGGCCCGGTGTCAAAAAGTCTGTATTTTTGAGCCAAATTTTGAGCTCTCAATATAATTTTTTCCATTTTTTTTTGTATTTCGGATTGTTGTCTGATCAAAAAAGATCGAAAAACTCGAAAAAAAATTTTTTGGTCGAAAAAAATCACATAAGGGTCCCCCCTTATGTGTTTTTTGAAAATTTCGAAACTAGTGAAATGACGGGCCCGCCGGGCCGGGCCGGGCTCGGGCCGGGCCTCCGAAATTCCGGAAAAAGCCCGGCCCGTTACAAGTATGAGCGTTGAAATTGAAAAATATAAAAGTAACTGGGAAATGTGTTAGATTAGAAACAGTGAAATTTTTGAGTACACATGTTGAAGACTTCCACAATCCCACATCGTTGCTGAGCTGGCTTCCTTTAAAACATTTCGATAGAATACGAATTTGTGAAATGGAATTTTAAAATAATTACCCATACGTATAAGAAGGACAACACATCAGTTCACACTCATCGTATGAACGAACATATTGAAACAGTGAAATTTCCAAGTGTTCCATAAATCTAAATCCAAAAACAAATTTTTTGAAATTTGTTGTTCTGTTTCACTGTTACCATTAAATGATTGTTTTATATCTGACACTATTGTTTTCACTGAATGTCTTTGAACATTGTAAACAGAAGATTTTATAAAGTTGTTTAGAGTTACGGTATGCATTCTGACGTGACTGTGTACAGTGATTAATGGTAGCAACGCGGCACCTCCATCGGTGGAACTTCTCGAGGGCGTAAAAGAACAGAATTTTGAGACTTTTATTCATATCTCTTGAAAAGTCCCTCCTAATGTGTACATGTAAAATTGTTCTAGTGTTTTATAACCTCTTCTTCCTACGCTTCCAAATGTACATCGGTCGAAAGCCGAATCTTACGACCGCGTAGCCGGTAGTGGCGCAGAAAAATTAAAATTGTGCCTTCAAGTTCCATCTCTCGAGGAGTTTCCATTGAAAAAGCGAATTATTTTTTATGCACAATAATCACGAAAATTGAGTGAAGGGCCAAAAAATTTCTACAGTTTCTAAATGTTTATGAAACAGCTTCAAATTTTCTCATTCGTTTCTTTCTGAAAGTGTTTCGGATTTTGACAGCTAAAAAACATTTTTCCGGACAATTTGAATTTTTTTTGATTCATCATTTTCCCTTTATTCTGAATCGATGAGATTTTTAGAAACCGATGAGGTTTTTTCAGAAAAACCTATACAATTTACGATAATCAATTTTGGCATATTATCACCGCTTAATTCATGGTGATAGGGGAAAAATTAATTCAGAATACTTCTAATTTTCCTGACAATGCGAGGTTCAATTCTCTAAATCCGAAGAATCTGATTGTTATCGTTTTACATTATTAAAAACTCAACAATTTAAAGGCGCAGAGTGACATTAAGCGTTGTACACCGTTACGGTAGAATGCATACACTGGCTACAAAAAACCTACGAAAAATCTCCTTCCAAACATTTTCCATTTATTTTCTCAACCTTTATAAACTTGAACATACTTTTTATCGGAAAAATCGTATATTTCAGATTCCTGATATTCCTGATAAATTTTTCCCACGATTTGACGATTGTACACAAATAATTGATACTATAGACACTAGAATCGTTACGAAATATGTTACAGTGAGATGACAGCATTTTCAAACAGTCATTTTTGGGCATTTTTTTAGAAAATTGAGTTCTTCTCAGTAGGAAAAACGGCCGAAATCTAACTTGAAAAATTGTCAAAATTATTCTAAAAAGGTTGCAAACGGCTCTTGAATACCAATAGGATTTATAATAAGGGTACGGCAGGCACAAAAATGTAAACACTATATCGTAATGTGGAAATCCGTACTATTTGTCGGCGACCATTCAGACCATTATTTTTGTTTAAAAAATTATTTCGCGGTACTACTATCGTTACAAAATATACTTGAGTAAAATGACCACATTTTGAAACAGTAGATTTCGGCAACAATTCAATTCCAACTTTCAAACTTTCAAATTTGGATAAAAGGCTCAATCTGATATAATGTTGGAAATGACATGTTTCTTTTAAAAAGTTGCTGTTTCAATATCCCCCTTTTGCTCAACGGGATCTTTTATGTTTTCTCAGACAAGAATAAAGTTCCCGCCGGCGGGTTAAGGGAAGTTCCTGCCGCAGGGCAGCGGCAGGGACTTTTTTTTTAGCCTGCCGGCATGGACTTTCACGCCGGCAGGTAAATGCTTTTTGTTCTTTCCCCCTTCCTCTTCCAGGGTCTTTTTCATGAAAATCAAATGAGAATATTAACAAAATATAAGTTTTTATTATCAAAAGAAATTATTCTTATCTAACAACAATGGGGGAGTAACGAATGGGGCAGAAATAAGTGTTTCCATCAAACTGGATTGATAGGAAAGGAGATAAAACATCAGAAGTGGGGATCAATGTGAGACCAACTAGGTTAGTGCATTTAACAATAAGAGAGTCACAATTATTGTCAGCAAAAAGTTTAATTGACCTAGCCAAACGTTGCGTGTTCCGAGCTAACTTTTAAAAATCAAGTCTTAGAGCAGCTGCTCGTACCACGCGACATACATTCCGAGATCCGATGGTGAAAGCCGACGCTCTCTGAAAACGAAATGTCAATGATAGAATCAGTTTAATTAGGTGCTCACTCTTTTCCCATTAAAGCAGATGTACAAATCGTTATCATCTGTTGAACGACATAGTTTCCATATTGATGGAAGAGAAGAATGTCGAGTGCATCGCGATTCGTCCCATGATCTTTGACGTAACCATCGAATATCTCGGTCATCATTTCCGTGAGAAGTGAGGGAGGAGCGAAGATGAAGGCTCCTTCAATGACATGTGATGCGTATTTGTCCTGTGACATGGAAAGTAAATTTCTCAAAAGACACTTGTCTATGATCATATCGCGATACATTTCCATGATTCCTGACGACTTGATGGCGTACTGAACGACATAGTTGGCAAACTCATTCGATGACAATCGATAACAATTGCGAACCACGCATGACATCAAAGTATGGAGAAGTTGAAGGCGTGCGTTGAAGCATGGGGCCTTCGAATTCTCAGATAATCTGTCGATGACTTGCTGCACTAGCCGACATCCGTACTTGTCTCTGCATACAGCCATCAGAGTACAGGAATTCCACGAAGAACGTCCAAATGTCGACAGGAAGATGCCTTACAATGCGTTGCATGGCATGAATCGATGTCTGGTCGGTGCAAATGTCCACTAAATCAGAGGAATGGAGCGCTTTGATCAGATCAGTGACAACGGAACGATCGAACTTCTGTAACAAGATATTGCTCAAATTTGAAACTTAAAAAGATCTATACCTGAACTGCGATTTGAACGACGCGGCAGGCGAATTTATCTTTGCACATATCGCCAATCCGCACTCCACCATTCTCTGCAGCAACACTTTCTGCTCATCGAGCGTTGCGAATTCGACAAGCTTCTGGATTATGAAGTTTCCGTTTGAATTTTTACACAATCCACCGAACAAGATCATCGACTCGGTGAGCTTTTCGAAAACTGCTCTGTGTAGATCGTTATTAGCATCCGTCGGATAGTGGATCTCCAGGAACTTCACTCCGTGACGGTCCATCGCAAAATTTATGAGCTGCTCCTTCCCGACGACATTTTGCAGAGTAATCTCTGTACGCGCCGGCTCGGCGAACTCTGAGCTTGCGACGAATGCCTTCTGGCCCCTGTCCAAAGGGAAGAAGGTGTCTTCTGATGACGTCCCGTTGAAAAAGAAACTTCCCGAATCGGGAGTCAAATTGTTGTTCGCCAGTGATGATGTTCGGCGATTCGAGAGTGGGAGCAGCTTGACCGACGGTTTGTTATTGTTCTTATTGTTTACGAAGAACGAGAAGTCCGTGTTGAACGGCATCGCATCGAATGACCCGTTTCCAAACAATCCTTGTGTGCCAATTGACGATGATCCGGAAGATATTCCATTGCTTCTACGGAACCACGAGTCGTTCATTGTGGGGAAGACTGAGCGACAACAGGAAAATCGCACAGGTTAGTAGCCGCTGAAAGTGAAAGAAGTAGAATAACCAAAACATCTGACATAGAGAAAGAAAGAGGAATTATCGAGATATTGGACATGTGAAACAACAAAAATGGCAATGGAAACCGGAGATCCTGTAACGTTTTTTTTTAAACTGATAAATTATGATATAAATACCTGTCGGAGGAGGAAACGTAGACACAGATCCATTGTTGCAGAAACGACCGCGAGGTGTTTGAGGAGTCATTTTGGGATTTTCTGAAAAATATAAGGAAATTTGCAATGTCGGAGCAATACTTTTCCTTTTCAGAATGTACACAGTGTCGGAACAAATAATTTTATATACCTCGTAAAAGAAATTCAGTAAAATAATAGACATAATCAATTTTAGCTTTAAAACAAAATAATAAAATATGCAAATTAAAATCCCGGCGAGCGGAGTGTCGTTTAGCCCGCCGGCAGGTACATTCTCCTGCCACCACTTCAATAGCCTGCCGGCATCCTTTTTAACCCCCCGGCAGGAACTTTTTTCTTGTCTGAGTTGTTGTTTGAGCTATATATGGCAAAAATTCAGTTTCAAAATGTCCATAAACTTCCTATTTCAATTTTCGAACCGTTTTGAACCAGTTTATCCTTGCATGTTCCTTCAAATATTTGCTGTTTCGAAATTCCCATTTTGCTCAACGGATTTTTTATGTTTTGTTTCGTCGACTCTACTATTTAAAATTACGGTTTCAGAATGTCCGTAAACAACCCATTACAAATTTCCAATTGTTTTCTTTTTTTTACTCGTAAAAGTCCTTATTACGAATTTTAAGCCATTCTTGCTGTATTTGCCAATTATCAAACCTCAAAACCCCCATTTCAAATTTCCCAGCGTTTTGAAACAGAAAATCCCCTCTCCCACTCTCTACAGTCGTAAATTGTAAGGGAACTCGAAAACTGTCACCTTATTACACTCCCTTTCCCCCTTTTAAAATTCATCATCTTCGCCTCTCTCTAGATGATCGATGATGATTACCTGCCATAGACACACACACGCGGTACGAATCGGCTACCTACATAATAAATCTGCCCCCCCCCCACACTAGAATTTTAGGTCCCAAAAAACCCATTCCTCTTAAGGCTCTTCCATTTCGAAGCGGCTGAGGGAGGTTATTTCAAAAACGACGCCGCCACTATTTGAAAAATGGCCTCGTTGAAAAATGAGGGATCAGGGGGAGTGAGCTGAAGCACACATGGCAATTTTTCAAACGAGTACAAGACTGATTGCCTCTCACCCCTCACACGTCTTCTTGGTGGATTCTGAAGGCGCGGCCGTGGAAAAAAGTGTTCCGGTGGTAATAAATCATCTTTGGTGTTGGTTCTCGGGGATGCCATCCATTTTAGGGCACCGGTTTTAAAAACACGATTTTGATTTTGGCGGTCCCTTTTTGGTTCTGAAAGTGTTCTACTGTAACGCCTTCGTTCAAACTCAATATTTTGCATGCATTGAAAACTGCAAAACTTTGAAACCTGAAACAAACTATTTGAAACAGCAAAAAAATCTAGTTTTCGAGTCAATTCACACCAAAACCAGAAACCGAAATAATCATCAAATAGGATTTGATAACCTGATGTCGGTGTCCTAGTCAGTATTGCTACCAGCTGAGCGAAGTAAGCACAGACTGAAATGAGTCAAAAATTTCAAATTTGAAGCGATTTATGAGTATTTTTTTGAAGGCACTAAATATTATCGTACAACTGAAAAATCTAAAACTATGAGAAACAAACAAACTACCTGAAACAGCAAAAAACCTATTTTCGACATTTCTTGAATGATCCAAAAATCTTAAATTTTAAGCTTAGGGGCGATAAAGGTGGTCAAATAAAAATTTTAAAACTATGAAAAACTGAAACCGACTAATTGAAACAGCATAACATTTAGTTTTCCTGACAATGGTGGGACTGGCCTTGTTAACGCACAACATGAAGCCGAATTTTCAGTTCATAGATCTCAGGAAGAAGTTAAAGAGCCTAATTTTTGACACGTCTCGAACGAGCTAAAAGCTTTTAATTTATGCGTTTTTGTAGATTCTCCAAATCTAAAAATATGTTTTTTCAGAGTTTTTCCTGGAAAGTGTTATATTCCCAGGCGCTGAGAACTCCTAAACCAGCAATTTAGAACCAGTTAGTCGCCGAAACGAGTACGTTAACAGAAAATTCGAAATCTGCCAAAGTTTGAAACAAACGCTCTGAAACAGCAAAAAATTAGTTTCTCAGACCCTCAAACAAAACTAAAAAGAAGTCTACCGAAGGGGATTCGAACCCCGGATGTCAGTTTACTAGTCAGCATCGCTACCAGTTGAGCCTTGAAGGCATATACGAATTTTTAGTTCTACAATTTTTTGACACCTTGAATCATCCAAAAATCTTAAATTTGATGCTATTGAAGTTGAAGATTATTAAAGCCGATATGGGTTCGAATAATTTTTTCGTGATTTTATTCGGAAAAAATATATATGAAACAGAAAAAATACTAGTTTCACAGCCGCTACACGAAACAATTAAAAAATCTGCCAGCGAGCATTAGAACCCTGAAGATTTCCAAAATCTAAAAATATGTCATTTTATCAGAATTTTCCTAGAAAATTATATATTCCCAGGCGCTGAGAATTCCTATAAATTAATTTAATTTAGTATGTGCAGCAAACCTGTTAATCATACTGAAAATTCTAATGCCATGAAACCTGAAATAAACTATCTGAAACAGTAAAAATTAGTTTTCAAAAACTTCCACGGATGTCAGTTTCCTCGTCGCTACCAGTCAAACGAGCTCAGAAGACGTTGACGTCGTCTGTGGGATCATTATGAAGCCTTTTTTTTCGTTCTAGAAGCTCTAAAACAGTCGACAATGCGAGAAGAACTGATGATGATTAAACTATGAAAAATTTTCAAAGCGATCTGAAACAGCAAAGTAACTATTTCCCAGACAAGTTACACAAAAACCAGGATGCCAGTTCCGAAGTCGAAAAAGCTGCCAGCTGAGCCAGAGCACCTGTAATCGAACCCTCATGAAGCCCAAATTTGAATTCTAAAACTCTTTCAGCTCCCCTTTGTAAGAGTATTTTCGTCAACTTGTCTCTATCCAAACAGCGCAAAAAAACGAATTTGTCTTTTTTCTTCGTCCTGTGTGTGAACGAAAAGAAGACAAGCGGTGGTTGGGACTGGTGGGATGGATGGGCACGATTGATTGATTGTCTTTAAGGGCCCTCTCCGTCAGTTCTCTTCTCCCCCCCTTTATAACATGAGTAATCAATCTTCGTTGCGAGACCCGTGTCGATAACTCAAGACGAGATGTGAGAGATGACACCAGAAGGCAAAGGAAGGAAGGCGTTTCGAAATATATATCTACAAGCAAACACAAAACATCATAAACGAATCTCTTCCAGGAGTGATCTGTCATTGTCTGTCACTTCTTTTCCCCTTATTTTTGCCTCCTTTCAGTTGTCGTTAGGAATTTTTTTGAAGAGTGATGATGAGATGATGATGATCGGGTGCCACCTCCTGGGTTTTTTTTCGCTTGTGATTTTTAGTGGATGGTGATTGATGGGTTACTTTTGGTAGACAAGGATCTTTGGTGGGTATCTGTAAATGGTTCCGGTTTCAGAATAGTGGTATTTTTAGAGTTTTAAGGTTTTAATATTGACATCGATGTCAGTTGATTTCCCGCCATATTTGGAGACTGGAGCTTAGCTGTCACGTTTCCGATCAATTTGAAAATTTTGGAGTGTGTGAAACAGATCAAGATTTAAAACTTTGCATTCACAGAATTTTTCCAAAAGTCAGAGTTTTTCAGCTATTTGCAGTTTTCTGAAAACACATTTTTTCCCATTTTCAGTACAAAAACAGCTAAAAAACGGTGTTTTTCAGAAATCGGCAAATCGCTGAAAAACTAGACATCTTCTAAAATTCTGTTAATACAAATGTTTCGATCTGGGTATGTTTTAAGATTTTCAGTAATTTTTAATGGAGGGTGATTGATGGGTTACTTTTGGTTGCTCAGCCAGAAATTATCACTGTTTTGAAAAGTTCACTTGTTATGAATTTGATAAAGCATAACTACTTCCAATGCGGTTCGATTTTTTCTAAATATAAAATTTCGGTTACTGTAATTATTTTTTCAATTAGCTGACAATACATGTAACAGGTTTGCTTTTTCAATTTTTTATAATAAAATTTTTGAGGCAGATGTTTACTTTGAAGAGACAGAAGCTTATTCAACATGAAAAAAGTTTTCCTGTTTCAAAATGTTTACAATTTTGGATAGTAATTATGATAATAGTTATTGCTTCACCTGTTTTGAATCAATTTGGTTTTCATTTTTTTTTTTTGAATTTTTTCAGAATCAGATCACACAAAATTAGTTTTGAAAAGTTTTCCGTTTCAAATTCTTGTTTTTCGGAGAAATTTTGTTTTTGATTCGGTATGTTCAGCTACATAGGAATTGGCTTGGAAATATTTAGAACTAGGATTATTGTAGTATCTGAATTGTTGTGGTTAAGGAAAGATTGGAATCTCAATCCAAACATCCTTCTTCCAGAACATTTTAAAACAGGTGTATTCATGCTTTACAGTAGAAATCTATATTTTCGAAAGTATTACTGTAGTTCGCAAAATGAAACGAAACATCAAACTTTGATAACTATATACCCACTAAATAAATCCCATGAAACAGAAAAAACGGTCCCTCGTATCCAAAGTCTTCCAGAATGCTTTCCTCCTTTTTTATTCGGGAGATGGAGAGCAAATATTTCATTCGGCTCATCAATCTCCCCTCAACTGACCTCTTGATCACTCTTTTGATTAGATCCAGAGGCGGAGAGAAAATGTGTTAGTGACAGTTGCTTTTTTGATTCCATGGGACAACAAAACACTTGTATGATACATATTTCTGTAGATCTTCGGAGTAAAACAAACAGTTATTGTATCTG